GGATCCTATCTAGACAGTGCTGCTTGATGGTAAGCATCACTGTCAGATTTAGAGTATGGTGTTGACGTCTTAATCCGGCAGCTATGCGCCGGATTCTGGGAGTAAAAACAGTCGTCTTATATTCCACCACACTCTGGATCCGAGAAGCGTGTTGTCTGGCCGACTGTATCTTGCCTTCGATTTTTTGTACACGCCGCTTGGCTTTCTCGATCCCGTGATTGGTTGACCTCTCACGGGGGACGAGTTGCTTCGCGGCGTTGTACACGGCACAGTTGATTTGCCAGATGTCTACATCTTCCGGAATTTCCTCATCGATGACCGCGTCCATTCTAGCCAGGTCTTGTGGCTTTAGGTTAGCCCTGATGTTAAGGCTAACCCTCGTCCTTAAGTCTACACCGGTGAACTCTAAAAGATGTTCCCCATCAGCTGGTAATTGCCGCGGTGGTACTGCGGCTGGCAGTTCTTCCAGCTGACGGGGTGCCCTTACGTAACCTGTCCTGAGCAGAAAGGATACTTGATCTCTCAGATGTTGTTGAGAGAAGGCGCGATGCTCTGGATGCATTTCGCACCAAAGTGCATGCATTCGCGCCATGTATCCCCTTCGCTCAGGTTCGCTACTCTCGCGGCAGGTCAGCAAGTCATCCCGTAGTTCCCTCGTCCACTTAAAGCGTCCGTGTTCAATGCCTAGGTTGTCAACGTTGAGAACATCCGGTAAGGCCCCTCCCACCTGTCTCTGACCCCCATCCGCTTGGGGTCGATTGTGAGGGGCCCTTCTCAGGTTATAAGGAACCCATAGCATAAAGAGTACCAGGGTGGTTAGCCCTGATACCCCCGGCCGGCATTAGTCAGGCAGAGTTGCCTCTGCCTGTCCAGGGTGGACCAACGTGGAGGTTGCCGGTCCTTTGCACCCGACGATTATTATTATTATTATTATTATTATTATTATTATAATTACTATTATTGAATTTTTTTAATCTGTATAGCGTAGCTTACCTTATGGTTTTTCCACGTACCAAAAACCAAATGAGTATCTTTTATACGAAGAAGGTTATAAAGGTGATTGTAAACCATTACACCTGTAAAAGTATTTTTAAAATGTCGAATATCTCTGAAACGGCTGGGTTTAGACATAGGGTATCCTACATGCTTTTGACTGCTCTTTTCGAAAACCCTAAAATATATAGGGTATTCTAATTAAAATAAGCAAGTAGGTATCGACTTCTGGTATTACCGGAAGTACCAGATGCTTGTAATTATTTTAGTTGGATTGACCACACTGCCATTTGTAATTCCCTAAATTTTCAAAATTTTCTGGTGGGTACTTTTTCTGATATCGATCGATGCAGTTCCTGGTGAGACACCCTGTATATATACTATTTTATTATGTGCAAATGAAAATCTCACCAGGCATATTTACATATACAGCGCCAGTCAGGTAGAGTTGTGGTCTCTTGAATCGAATAAGGTTACTTCTAAGCTGGTACAGAAAAGACGAAAAATTCTGGTTGAGTTATGAGAGAATAACTCTTATGTGGGAATCTGAACATAGTACCACAAAAGGTAAAGAAGAAGCGTACCGCAGCCTTGAATCAGCGTTTCGCATACCAAGGAGTCTGATCACGTCAGAGATATGAAACTGTGCCAAAAAGCACAATTTATCAACCATTGGGTTAAAGCTTCCGGAATGAGAAAATCAAAGCTCCATATGAAGGCTCCTTTGAGTGTCTACCACAAAGTGGCTGCTGAACTTCAATAGGGAACGAATGAGATGAATAGTAGGACTGATAACATGATTCTGTCTTCCAAATTAATGGAGGCACTGTAATCTGGTGTCTAAAAAAGTATAATTGTTCTCCGATTGTAAAAACAAAATGAGCTATCTGCTGAAACTTACTGTGAGCTAAATATTCAGTTATTTACTGCCAACTCATTAGTCCCCAGCTACCCTTACTTATGTTTTTAAAATAGCACCCTATGTCTTGAAGAACTTGTTAAAAACTGTATTCAACTGTATCATCAAAAATTAAATTAAATATGTGATTATTGATTATGAAGTTTTGAGATATTCAAAAAAAAGCAGTGTTGACGTTAGAAGTATTTTATTGCTATCTAACTTGATGTGAACTAACTTAATAAATGCTGAAATTGCCCCCATCCTTCTACTTGAATGCACCAAGGCGTTGGTAAAACTGTCTATGGAGCTGCCTGTAACTTTAGACGGTGAATTGTTTAATTCCATTCTGATACGTTCTTTTAGAGCCTCAATGTTGTCGGGAAAAGTATTTCCTTAACTGCCTCTCAAGTCACCGAAAATCCTAGGATTTTGTATTAGGCGAAGAGAAACATGGCCATGCAGTTTATTATGAAGTCCGAAACACTTCTATGGCATCGACAATTCGCTCTCCCATTTTAGTCCGAAACAAATTACAAATAATGTTTTTAATTTGCTCCAGGATGGAGTCGGCTATCATGACATTCGTTTATTTCGACGAACTCTTTCTTCTATGCAACCTCAAAGAAAGTAGTCCAGTGGCGTTAAAATCTGGAGACCTTGGGGGCCATTCAGCAGTACCCTTTCGACCAATTCAGCGATTTAGAAAAGAAATTCTAAATGCTTTCGAACGGTAACACCAAAATGCAGAGGTATGCCCTCTTACTGACACTGCAGACTTACATGAGGATTATCTGAATCTACTTCATTGAGAAATATGACTGCTAACGCATGTAATATTTTGTTAAAAAAGTAGGGTCCCAAAACCCAAAAATGAATTATGCCAACCGACAAATTCGCTTTTTAAGGATACTAAATGCGTGCTTTAAATGTCCAATCTTGATTTTGTTAAGACCAGAAGTAATAATTGTGTCTATTAACAATAACATTTTAAATTTAAATAAATAACAGAAGAAAATATAATTTTGCTTGGAAATGCATCGTTATTATTACCTTTCCATTCCTTCCACACTTCCACAAAACCGAACACGTCTATTATATTCACCTTCCAATAACTTTCGCACAAGGTGAACTTTATTGAGATGGTACTTTTCGCTTTTTAGAAACTTTTGTAGGTACGTTATCTGTGGTTAAGGTAACAGTTAAAACATTCGGATTTTCAGTCAAAGATAACACGTCAAGTTTTGATTGAATTTTTGCCCATTCAATTATTTATAGGTGTCACACATATTTTTGAATATATTTGCAAAATTTCATTCAGGGACAATTTTTTCTTTTGTAAAAAGATTCGTAGATACTTCTCTGTCTTCGCCACTGACAATCATATGCGATAACTTTCAGTATCGATTAATTTTTCTCTTAAATCCGTCTATCACCGCAATATCACGAATTTATTTTGAATGGTTATACTGCAATTCAAGAAAAAATTTTTAATTTAAATTTTTTTATTTGAAAATCGAAAAGTGAATATAAAAATAAGAGATACGCGTTGGTCATCATTCTTTTTTTCCATTTAAATTGGAAAAAAAATTAATTAAAGTTTTTGTGACATCACATACACAAACAGGGCGCCAAATGTAGTTATTTTTAGGGTACTTCACAATCTGCAGTTGTATGATTTGACATTTGATCGTAGTCCCAATTTTCGTTTGTTTATTATTGTAAAAATACGGAAGGTAAATTGTCTGATCTACCTATTACATAATTTTTTTTCATATTAGTGTGTTTTTAGAAAGTTTTATGACAAATACACAACCAAAAATGCTAAAACAGGAAACACAATATGATAATAGAAGTACTTTTTAAAAAACCTGACATTTCATTTATTTTGAATTTTTGCAATTTTAGAAAAAAATAATAAATTAATTATTGGGTATTACGTAAGCATCCTTGGAAACTTAATATGATAATAATAACAATGGCACACAAAAAAAAATTGTTTGTACATTTGACGCCACCTACCTCCCGACATGTATTTCGATCCGCTGAATCCGAATTTAAAGTCAGTTTGGACCGTACACCCTCAAATATCGAGTAAATTGAAAAACCGTAAAAAATAGCGAAAATTGGGTGTTTCGGTAATACCAAGCCTAATTTTTATGTATTTCGATCTCCTGAATACGAATCTAAAGTGTATTTAGACCATAAGCCGTTTTAAATCTAAGTAAATTGTAAAAAACTCTCGAAAATTGCTAAAAATGGCAAAAAATTGTGATTATACGTATGTTTATACGTCATTTTTTATAGATTTTACAATTTTTCACATTTTCAGATTCTAAACTTGTATTTCATGCATAAAAAAATACAAGAAACGTATTTAATCGTGTTTCATAGATTTTTTTCAATTTTTTCAACTGCAATTTTTTGCTATTTCATCGGTTTTTTGCGATTTTTTGAGATTTTGAGGGATTAATGGGCTAAATATATTTCAGATTCGGATTCAGCAGATCAAATTACATAAGAATCCTCCTCGATCCGGGTCTACAAAATTTTTTTCATCAACATAATCACAATTTTTTGCCATTTTTAGCAATTTTCGAGGGTTTTTTACAATTTACTTGGATTTAAAACGGGTTATGGTCTAAATATACTTTAGATTCGTATTCAGCGGATCGAAATACATAAAAATTAGGCTTGGTTTAGATCCACAAAATTTTATTTATTACCGAAACACCCAATTTACGCTATTTTTTACGGCTTTTCAATTTACTCGATATTTGAGGGTGTACGGTCCAAACTGACTTCAAATTCGGATTCAGCGGGTCGAAATACATGTCGGGAGGTAGGTGGCGTCAAATGCACAAACAACTTTTTTTTTGTGTGCCGGTGCAATTAAATACCTACAGTTTCTTACATTTTACACTATAATTCTTGTCTGAATACGATAGGTAGTGTTAGGTAGTTAAAAAAGTAATCACCACACCACAGGTAATACAACCCACAGGGATATTTCAAAGTATTTTGTGCGGAAGGGGACGACACATAAAGACAATGGACATACACACCAAATATCCGAGTATGCTAAGCTTAATTCCTGATTTAGAAATAGCTCTTCAACCGGGAATCGAACCCGGGACTCCAGGGTGAGAATCAAGTGTTTTTACCGCTCAACCACGATGCTTTAGATACATTCCATTGAGACACTATTGAAATAACTACTTCACCTAGGCACAAGATGGCAATGTATTAAATAATAGTATTCATAGCATTAGAAGCAAGAAAAATTGAGTTTAAAAATTTTTAACTCAGCAATGAGAAAATCTGCATTCCCTCCAGTTACAATACAAAGACGAAAATTTCTAGGTCCTTATGTAATCTCTTTCATTCCTTAGGGACTTCTTAAAAAAGCTGGAAAATATAAGAAACTATAGGTATTTTATTGTTATCACATTTAAAACGATGCTTATACATAATAGATAATTAATATTATTTTTTCTAGAAAGGCATAAATACGAAGCAAATAATATGTCAGACAATCCATCAATTTTAAATATCAAAATTAATATGACAAATGTTTTTATTTTGAATTATGTGATTAAAATATCTCTTTAAATAATATGTTCACTATTTCCAGCCCCCTGAGGCGTTGAGAAAGAATGAAAGACGTTATATAGCGGCCTAGCTTTTTCGTTTATGAAGGGAAGTATAAAATGTAACAAACTATAGGAATTTTATTGTTATCATATTAGGTTTGAAAGGATATTTATGTAATACCCGATAAATAATTTATTATTGTTTCTGTAAATGAATAAAAGTACCATCTTGCCAGTGTCCCATCAAATTTTTGGTGATGTTCCTAGTTCGCACTTAGTGACATAATTATGAAAAATTGTATCTTTTTTAGACTGAAATAATTGTTTTATAGTGCTAGTAATTCTGCTTCAAAATGCAGAAAAAAAGTATATTTTCAAAAATACAAGCATTTCCATTTTCATCTCAGATCAGTGAATTATCCAGAAATGAAGCGTTCCTCGACCCATTTTTGTAGGAATCTTTATTTTAAAACCAGGCCTTTTAACGGCTGTTGAAATACTGCTAATAAAAGTAAAACACTTTGTATATTATACTTATGTGTAATACCTAATAATAATGAGGAAATATCGTTTTTCGATTTTAGTGGAATGGATTTTACCCAATTCATATTTGTGAATTTGGAAATAATGGATCGTAGATTATATTGGAATTTTAAGAATACAATACATGGTACTAAAAAACGTTACACTCAGTTATACAGTGTGGAAATTAAGTAACGAATAAATTCAGTAATTCCGTTGATATTAATTTTTTAGAAATAATCTCGAAGGGGTATAGCGATTTTAACTTCAGCAAATATTTTCAGTCTATTTTCAGTTTCTTATGTCATTTATTTTTTAAGTTATGACGTCATCGACTTTTTTTTAAATGACAACCTATATTTTTCATTATTGATTTTGGTAGTAGTTTTTATTCCGGTTCCGACCGTATAAAATTTTCAATATGTTATTATTTGAAAAAAATCAAGAAAAACAGTCTTAAAGTTCAAATAATAAAAATTCATTAAATTGGGTAAATTTATCTAGTTGCCGGTGTATCACATTAGTTACGGCTGTCAGAATTACACAATTTGTCAATGTCACAATAGAATAAGTGTTATTATTTTGCTTTTTCTAAATTAGAAAAACTACTTCGTTAATAAAAATGGTACAATTGAGCTACGAACAGAGAATTGAAGTGTTAAATGATTAGAGCTAGAACACATCAAGAAGTGTGTCATCTTTTTAGAGAAAAATACCCGGATCAGCCCATAAATCAATCAACAATTAGTAGGATTGAAAAAAAAATTCGGTAACATGGGCGTTGTAAAGAATCTTCCAAAAACTGGACGTCCAGCGACATTAAATGAAGATCCTCAACTTGATGTGGTACTAGAAATTGAAAACAATCCACATTCAATGAATAGAAGCATTGCTTTGAACCACACTACAGTTCTAAAACTTTTGAAAGTTCAAAAATTCCACCCATATAAGGTGCACTTGGTTCATGAGTTGACAGAAGATGACTTTGATCGTAGGCAAGAGTTTTGTGAACAAATGATGGAAATTTGCAACCGCGATCCAATGTTTCCCAGCGTGTTTTATTTTCGCATGAGGCAACATTTTGTTTAAATGGCCATGTCAATAGATAGAATTGTAGATATTGGGCTAGGGACAATCCTCATTGAATGCAGGAAAGCCATACCCAATATTCTAAGAATGTTAATGTTTGGGCAGGAATTATTGGTGACAGAATTATAGGTCCATTCTTTTTTGAAAACAATTTGACTGGAGATAGATACCTGCAATTTTTACAGTTGGAATTGATGCCTGCATTAGCTGCATTATTCCCCAATGCAAATAACACTGACCTACCAAATAATACAATTTGGTTACAACAAGATGGCGCTTCGCCTGCGACGCTACTTGGACCAAGTTCTCCCAGCAAGATGGATAGGGAGAAGAGGTCAGATAGAATGGCCGCCTAAGTCTCTTGATCTAACGCCATTAGACTTCTTTTTATGGGGGTACTTAAAAAGTAAAGTGTACAACAATCGACCCAATAATTTAGACGATCTCAGGAAAAGAATTCAACATAAGATTAGGTTAATATCGCCTCAAACTATTCAGAATGTGAGAAATGAATTTTATAACCGTCTTGGGTATTGTCAAAAGGTACAGGGTCGTCAATTTGAACATTTAGTGTAAATGTAATTTAACAACTGTTATTTCTGTGCTTATTTTTGTGTTTGATGATATTGTTAGAGTTTTTTTCTGGTTAATCAATTTAGTTTCTTTTTATACCAATGCTTGCCTCACGAAGTTATCGTTATTACTAACTTTGAATTGAGCAGATAATAAATTTCTAGTTCGATTTTTCAACTATTTGTATAATTTCAAAATAAAAACGAATGTGCCGACGAAAACTTTCCATCAAACTTAGGCAACTAGATAAATTTTCCCAATTTAATGAATTTTTGTTATTTGAACTTTAAGACTGTTTTTCCCGATTTTTTCAAATAATAACATATTAAAAATTTTATACGGTCGGAACCGGAATAAAAGCTACTACCAAAATCAATAATAAAAATATAGATTGTCATTTAAAAAAAAAGTCGATGACGTCATAACTTAAAAAATAAATGACATAAGAAACTGAAAATATATTGAAAATATTTGCTGAAGTTAAAATCGCTATACCCCTTCGAGATTTTTTCCAAAAAAATTAATATCAACAGAATTACTGAATTTATGTGTTACGTAATTTCCACACTGTATAAATGTTATCTAAATTATCGAATTTTAATTTTCCTTTGATTTTTTGATTATATAATAAAACTTGTTTTATCAGTTGAAACAATCTAAATTACTTTTTCTTTTTTCAATTACAAATTGGCAATTCGAAAGTATCAGTATTACGTAAAAATTAAAAACTAATAATAAATATAAAAACAATAAATTGCATAAACTTATAAAACAGATTTTATATTACTATAGTCCAGTGCATTAAGACAAAAAAATATACCGTTTAAAGAAAGAAGTCCAAGAAAGCTGAATATTGTATTATACTTTAATTTTGTTGTTCTTAACAACATCTCAAAAGTCCCTGGTGATCCGCTATACGCACAACGAAAATGCGTAAAAGTGTTAAAACGAATATGAAAATTATTATAAGATCAAAAGATTAGAAAATTATCTGAAAAAACGGTCATTACTCGTTTTATCATAAGAGTTATAGTTTCTAAGAAAACTTTATGTAAAAGTTATGACTCAGGCAAATACTTCGATTTTATTCTGTTCTGTGCTTAATAAGTTAATTAGGTTCTATATTAAAAAAGAAAACAAGGATTTTATGATGAAAACGGTTTTAGGTATTTTATTAATAAAATCAATCACGATTGCTTTATTCAGTGCCAGAATCATAAATATCACCGACACACAAAAAAAAAAGTTGTTTGTACATTTGACGCCACCTACCTCCCGACATGTATTTCAATCCGCTGAATCCGAATTTGAAGTCAGTTTGGACCGTACACCCTCAAATATCGAGTAAATTGAAAAACCGTAAAAAATAGCGAAAATTGGGTGTTTCGGTAATAAAAAAAAAATTGTGGATCTAAACCAAGCCTAATTTTTATGTATTTCGATCCGCTGAATACGAATCTAAAGTATATTTAGATCATAAGCCGTTTTAAATCTAAGTAAATTGTAAAAAAACCCTCGAAAATTGCTAAAAATGGCAAAAAATTGTGATTATGATGAAGAAAAAATTTTCATTCTGTTCATACGTCATTTTTTATAGATTTTACAATTTTTCACATTTTCAGATTCTAAACTTGTATTTTATGCATAAAAAAAATACAAGAAACGTATTTAATCGTGTTTCATAGATTTTTTTTCAATTTTTTCAACTGCAATTTTTTGCAATTTTATCGGTTTTTTGCAATTTCTTGAGATTTTGAGGGATTAATGGGCCAAATATATTTCAGATTCGGATTCAGCAGATCAAATTACATAAAAATCCTCTTCGATCCGGGTCTACAAAATTTTTTTCATCAACATAATCACAATTGTTTGCCATTTTTAGCAATTTTCGAGGGTTTTTTACAATTTACTTAGATTTAAAACGGATTATGGTCTAAATATACTTTAGATTTGTATTCAGCGGATCGAAATACATAAAAATTAGGCTTGGTTTAGATCCACAAAATTTTTTTTATTACCGAAACACCCAATTTTCGTTATTTTTTACGGTTTTTCAATTTACTCGATATTTGAGGATGTACGGTCCAAACTGACTTCAAATTCGGATTCAGCGGGTCGAAATACATATCAGGAGGTTGGTGGCGTCAAATGTACAAACAACTTTTTTTTTGTGTGCCGGTGTATTTAAAGAATAATCAAGTATTATCAATAACTGATATTTATCTCTCTCCCACTTCAACTTTTTCTCCTTACTCTTTTTATCCTTCTCCTTCGTCTCATTCATCTCTTTCTTCTAGGTTCGTCTTCTTCGAATCTTATATTTTCCTCGATTTCGCCATGAGCATTTAAACAAGATTGCCCGTGAAAAATAACGCAAACAAAAGAGCAATAGAGTCCCAA